ATGGTGGCAGTCATCTTGGATTTTGACATGGCAACCCAATTTTAGAAAGGAAACTTTCTTACTGTCTAGATGCAGACACACTACAGTAGATGTCAGCACCGCACGTTTTTCAAGTTTTCATGCTCTCAACCTGACAAAGTGACGGACAGATGGATGAAGGGCGTCTCCAGTTTCCCCTCTTCCCTCCACAACAGGGGACAACAAATCAATGTGGGGAGTCTCCAACAGGCTGACAGCAAATTTTAATTGTATAATGTCCTTTAAAAAAACTCAGGACATGTTAAAGAAAGAATGTTGAGGAAAAACTCAGCTGAGGCACCATTATATGTAAAAAAGAAAAAGAAAAGGGGGTTGATACTGTGGAAGGACTAAGAGGTTGACACTGAGTTTTCAGAAGCAATATAACATTAAACTGTAAACCTCAGCATTTGCTTGTGGTGCAGAGACTTGCTGGTTTAAACTTTGACGTTGCACGTGGACAACATTAAAACTTTTAAAACATGCATCGGACTCTGTCTTCTATGATACAGAATGACACAACTTGTTTGTACAGGTGGCAGAACCAAATGAGGTTTCTGAGAGGAACTTGGCTGTCCAGAAGGACCAGCAGCTTCTGTGGCTGAGTTTAAATTGTCTGACAGAGCCGGATCATTAGAGACCTGGAACGTACTCAGGCTGCCTGGATCCTTTTGGTTGATTGAACAGCAGACACTGACATGTTCTGGATCGTCTTTAGGGGCTTTACTGTGCATGTTTGATTCAATTCACCAAATATCAGGATACCAATGATTAAAATATTGTTTTAATCAGTTGTAGAACAACTGACTGGGCCAGGATCCCACAACAAACATCCTGCTGGTAACATTTTTAGATTTCACCACAGATGAAGATGACAAAGAGTTTTCTGGGTCAGATTTTGTACTTTTTTTTGAGTGATTTTGGACCGGGTAAAATATCCCCATATATTTTAGGTGTCTCTCCTCAGGGATGTGAATAATCAACTTGCAACAAGCTTTACTGATAAGAGGGGGTCACACGAATGTTCAAACAGATGGACAACACGACGAGCATGGATCAAATTAAAGATGAATGACGTCCTAGATTTTGCACAATGCTGTGACTTACAGTCCGTCTGCAGAAGCAGTCAACATGCACACATCAAACTGCTTCATGGTAAAGCTCAGCTCCATCATCAGTGTTTTCATCCACTGGGCTGAATCAGTAGCACAAGTCAAACTACAGGAGAGACCAATTCTGAACCTAATGTAGAGCAGCAGCAGCAGGAGCTCAGCTTTAGCATGCCTCATGTAAAATACTCACAGCAAACAGCAAGAAAAAGAACAAACAAAAGTCCCGGCAACGTCAACAGACAGAAAACAAAAAGCAGAGAATGTGAAAATTAGTCAAACAGAGAGGACAAAAAACATAACACAAAGCACACAGAAACCACCGGAAGGCCTTTAACAACTGAACATGAAGTGTGACTAAATACTTCACAAACTACCAACAAAATGAAAAACACAGACTGAAGGTTCAAACAAATACCTCTGGATTCCCTGGAAGGTGCTGCTGGCCATGTCCACAATACCACCTGTCGGCCGAGCAACAACACCCACAAGACCTTTACCGATCCCCTTAAAGAAGCCTGCTGCACCCTCTTTCTTAGCTCCTGCAGACAGAAAGACAAACTGTGTGGGTTCTGGGTGGTTGAAATCACTTGTGTGGACATTTGGACATAAATCAATTAGAAGAGTTTCAGTCGGGGTTTAGAGCACAGAAACAGCACTGGTGGAAGTTGCTACTATTACTACTACTACTAATATATTTTATTTGAGGGTGCCCTTCAAAAACCGAAGGTCACATTCCAAAAACAACAATCAAAAACAGAAACAACAAACAATTATATAAAACAAGTCATGATATGACAACACGTAAGACCAAGTTCAAGTGAATACGCCTGTTTGAACAGGTGTGTTTTCAGCTGTGATTTAAAAGAGGGAACAGAGTCGGTGTTCCTGATGACAGGAGGGAGGGAGTTCCAGAGCCGAGGAGCGCAGCGACCGAAGGCTCTGGTCCCCATGGAGACAAGACGGACAGAAGGAACAATAAGTAGTGGCAGACGAGGATCTGCCTCTCAGCAATAACAACATTCTCATGGCCTCAGGCAGAGCACTTGTGTCCATACTTGTCCTGATAGACAGTATCTATACTTGTATAGTATTTTTAGTTGATGTTTTTCTTAGTTTATATTTAAGATCTTATTACTGTTTTTCTTTTACATTTTATTGTTGGATGTAACTGGGACCCTGTGAACATAATTTTGTTCCACCACATGTAGCACATGCAGTACGAATGACAATAAAGAAACTCTGACCCTGACTATATTGGTCCTGTTAGACCAGGAGTGTCAAGCCCACTTACAAAATGGGGCCAAAATTAAAACCTTTTTCAAACTAAGGGCTGGTTTCAGAATCCACATTAACTCAGATACCAACATCTTTTCTTGGTTGCAGGTTCCTCAACAAGAGCTTGATTGGTCTCATTTTTATGTTCTCTATTTCACTTTTGGCATCACAATCAAAGATAACTAGAAACAAAAAATGAAGTTATTAACGTATTTTACATTTAAAATAACATCTTGGGGGCCAGATAAGATGTCAACGAGGGCCAAATTTGGCCCCCGGGCATTGAGTTGTTAGACAGTGAACTTGTGTCCATGCTTGTCAGAGCTGCATTTGATACAGTTGATCACTGAATTTTATTACAGAGGCTTAAACATGATTTCTTTTTCATTACAAGAACAGCTCTAAAATGGTTTAAATCATATTTATCTGATAGATTTCAGTTTGTCAATGTAAATAATGCTATGCCCACCCTAAGCCTTATTCTGGTTCTGCTGAAGGTTCCTGTTAAAAGGGAATCAATGCTTTCCACTTTTTCCAGGGTGCTTGCTCAGTATGGGAGATAATGTGACAAAGTGAAGATTCAACACAAAATTGGTGTTTTATAATGTTTGTGAATGTTTTTGTACAATGACATGGAATGGTGCTTGTTGCGAATTAGCTTTAAATAAATAAACTACATTTAGTTATATCAGGGTCATCTATGGGGTCTGGATCCCAGGTTACAAGATGTCTGAGGTGTTTGGGTCAGAGGGTCAGGTCATAAGGACCTCAGCAGTCCATATCAGATTATTTGAGGGATCAGAATCACAAGACCTGCTAGTTCTAGATCTGGTGATTTTATACATTCTATACAAAGGATCGGGGGAATCTGAATCTGTGGATTTGAAGGATCTAGATAACAGTATGTGGAGGCCCTGGATTAGATAATCTCAGAGGGTTAAGATACAAGATGGTGAAAGGTAATTGGAGCAGATAATTTAAGTGATTTGAATCAGAATATCTGTGGCTTCAGGATTAAAAACATTTAAGAATCTGGATAGGATGATTCTGGATAAAATAATCTTAGAGTCATCTCAGGGTCTCAGGATTTTAGGATTAGGCATCAAGAGTATCTAGAATAGATTATTTAAAGACATTTGATCTTGACCTTCTGGGCCCTCTGATTCAAGTTCTTTAAATTTTCTGTTCTAGATACTCTTGACGTCAAATCCTAAAAGCTTTTGACCCAGTTATTGTGTTATTGTTATATATCTTAAGGGTTTGGATGAGACGATGTAAAGAGTCTAGATATGACGATGGTGTGATTAAGACATGTAGGCTCCGTATTAAAGGATTAAAAAGTCTAGATCAGAGAGGCTGGATTAGAGGCACTTGGTTCACAATTTAAGGAGATTGGATTTGATGATGAGATAAATTTAGATCACAATATCTGAGGTATCTGAATCCAAGGATGACATGGTTCTGATTCAGAAGACCAGCAAGATCTGGATTAAGACTTTAGGAATCTTGAAGAGAGGATCTAAAACACAAGGAAGATCTGTGGGACCTGAATAACAGGATCCAATTGATCGAAGGAGTCTAGATCAGATCATTTAAGGGATCTAAAGAGTTGTGAGATTGGAATAAAATACTTTTAGAAATCTTGAACAGAGGATTCAAAATATCTGAATTGAAAAAACCTGAAGGGTTTGGATGAGAGGATTTTAGAGTTTGTGATTTCAGTTTCTAGAACATAAAATCAGAATAATTTGTATCGTAGGACCAGAGGGGTCGGGATGTGGGGACATACTGTGACAATTCTACTATCTGACCCGCTTCTTTAAACATTTCAGTCCATATGTCCAGCAGGAGTAAAGGTGTCACTTACCTTCCACGGGTTTGGTGACGATGCCTGTAACTCCACCGACGACGCCCTGCAGAGACACAGATCTTACTGAGCTGCACCAGAACGCATCACTGAGTAAAGACCTGAACAAAGTCCATTTAAACCTTCAGCAGTCCTTTCCCTCCTTTGGCCAGGCTATCTTTGAAGTCTTTAGGTGGTCGATTCATCTCCTCTCGCCGTTCCTGCTGGTACTCCTTATCCATAGTGATGGCTGCCAGACCTTTACCAACAGAACCTGTGATCTTGGAGACCATACCTGCCGCACCACCTGTAGGGAGAATAGACCGGCTGGGACCACTGACCGTACAAGTTTCCATCCACTCATGAAGGATATGAATGTCCAATTCATTTGGTGCTTTTAATTTTATTTTATTTTTTTTAATTCAGTGTTTAACTGAATATATTCAGAGCCACACAAAGTCATATTTATACATACAGGATCATACATACATTAACTCAGTGGTTTGCAACCATGGTCCTTGAGGAACGCCTTCCTGCATGTTTTATTTGTTTCCCTGCTTTGACACACCTGATTTGAATGAATGGGTGAGTAACAGACTTCTGCAGAACTTGAAGACTCGTGCAGAATGTCATACAACAACAAAGTGTCTTCAGTCACAGGCTTCTTCAGATCTGTTGTAGGACAGATCGCTACAAAAAATCCTTCCTGCCCACAGCCATCAACATCTATAACAACTCTTTAATGAAACCAGGATGATGAGTTACAACAACATATAATTTCCCTCTGGGATTAATAAAGTATTTTTGCATTAAATTGAACCAAATTGAAGTAAATAAATCACTTAATCAGGCATGATGAGCAGGAAAACAACTGAAACATGCAGGATGGTTTTCCTCAGGGACCAGGGTTGGGAACTATGGCATTAATCTAATCTGACAATGCCTTAAACTGAAGAGGCCAGTGCCTTTTAACCTCCTGTTCACAATCATGGTGCAGATGGTAGTGTCTCTCTGCCAGTATTAAAATATTTGTTTGACAGCACATATTGGATAGACCAGGGCTTTTCAAAGTGCAGGGTGTGCCTCCCACTGGTGTTCTGCAAGGCGGCACAAAGCGAGTTAAAAAAACAAACAGAAAATTTAAGAGAAAAGAAAAATATGGGTTGTAGTGGTGTGAGGTGTGAAAAATAAAATGTTTTAAATGTGTTTTATAAAAAAGCAAAGATGTTTAAAATGTGTCAAAGACCATACATTGTATGTGTAAGACCAATACTCATCTGCCCCCTTAGATCAAGGGAATCTGATTCTGATGTTCATGAACAAACCAGGAACCACCAAGACTCAAGCCTGCCTTGAACTGGAACCTGCTGGTCCACCAGTGTCCCTGTTCACAGTAAAACCACTTCACTCACCATGGACTGAAAGGACCTGCTCCAAAAGCAACACTATCATGCTGGAGTGAAACCTGCAGCTGTCCACATGGACAAGACAAATGTCTTCTGGAGACAAGTTTGATGATCAGACAAGACAAAGATGGCGCTGACTGCCCACAATAACAATATCATGTTTGGAAGTGTCTAGGTGAGACTTCTAGAAAAGAGAGAACACTGTAACAACTGTCAGGTATGGAGGTGGTAGCATCATGCTGGTGTACTGGTGTACAATGTTTATAGAGTAATGAATTATTTGACGTCACCTCAAATCATCAGCTGGACAATTGAAAGTTGGACACAGTTGGGTCCAACAGGACAATCAGAAGAATCAGAATCAGAATAAACTTTTAATGATCCCAAACACATCAGAACTGGTCTCTGATTGGACAAATCAGGCTAACATTAAACATCTGGAACATTTGGAATGGTCTTCCAAAATCCTCGTCCTCAACCTGATCAATAATTTATGGACTCCTGTTAAAAACCGGGTTCATCCAGGAAAACAATTTAAATAAATTCTACCAATACTACCAACAAGAAGAAGAACAAGAAGAAGAAGAACAAGAAGACCAACAAGAAGAAGAAGAAATAGAAGAA